GCACGACTCTAAATTAAATCCAAAACCATATTTAAAAAAAAAGGGAGAATAATTGACCGCTCCGACATGCGTGGTTTTTCCATTGTTTATTTCAGTAATTTATTTTTTGAATCACTTTTTAAATCACATTAAGCATTGGAAAGATTTGAATATTTTTTTGTGGTCAGAAGAACTTTTGTTTCTTGCTAGGGTGGAATTATTTACAAAAAATTAATTACTAGTTGAACTTTATTTTCCCATATTAGGGGAGAAAACCTACAGTAATGTTCATAGTTTAAATTTTAAAATTTTAATCTTACTTGATTTGACATGACAAATATACTCAGCCTACGTTATTTGTAAAGTAAAGCATAATTTTGGCCTCCGAACTAAGCTAAGAAACATTTACACATTCCGAAAGTCTCTTTGTTTCAAACATAACAGCACTACCATCAGTAAACCACAATTCAAGCGTATGGGCTTTCGGTAATTACTTTTATGGATTCCTCTTGCCCTTCTCGCTGAACAAGAAGTCGGTCGAACAGGCCAGAAAAGGGGGTTTGGGGTAGTGAGCCAAAGGGGAAGTTTCGAAGTTTAGAATTTAGAGGGTAGCTTCTAAGGGTCAATATTAAGAATAAGAGTGCGAGTTAATATTGCAAGAGAGCAGTTGGTAAGGTAATTAAACACCATGAGTGAAACTGTCGAATATATTTCATTTACTTATACTTAACATATGAACAAATTGAATGGTATTATGTACTTTTAGAAAACTGACAAAGGGGTATCGGAGAAACCAGCAATATTTTATTCTACTGTTGTGCTTTAAACCAAGAAATATTGGATTGAATTTAATGCTGATACTACACACTTTTAATTATTCTACAACTTCGGTTTAAACAAACTTTACAAACTCTGAAACATGTGAAGAATACAGGGTGTACCAATAAAAACTCCCAGGTCGGATATTTTGGTAAGTATCTAATAGAAATATTTTAATTCTGTAAAAGCCAGTGCATAGAGCGCTAAGAGAGCCTCAGTTTTAGATATTAATTAATTTTAAATAGATCAATTGTAGATGGCACTGCACTCAATATATTTTTTTCGAAGGGAGGATGTTTCTTACATAACGCATCTTGTAAAAAATGCATTTTAAGCAGATTTTGTTCTATAAACTAATTCGATAAATCTAGCCACTCAAAACAGTTTCATCCTGTTTTTCAGCATTAATCATTGGATTTGAAGAAAATTCTAAAACAAGTCGATTTTTATTCCAAATTAAAAACATTTTAAGAATACAGACATCTGTCATGTGTCAACCCCCTCCCTTGCACTTCATTTTAAATAGGTAATCATTGAAAAGGTAATTTAATGGAAAATTCAGAAATATTTCTGTATATTGCGTTACTTAAATTTTATCGCCTTCCAGCGGGATAAAAAAACTACTACGTATTATAGAGCGTGCCATTACAATGTCTAGTATATCATTAAAAAGGTAATTTTATAGGGAATTTACAAATATGACTGTTCATTGCGATACTTTTAATTGTATCGCCCTCTATCGGGATAAAAAAAAACTGTACGTAATATAAAGTGTGACACCTTATTTGAAAGAAAATTTAATTACTAATTCAATGCACCACATAACATTAATAAAAATATCCTCCATATTGCATTTGCAATAGTTTAAAAATTATTCATGCATTATTGCTAACTTTATTTTGTTGCAAGTGCAACATGGAAATATTTAAAATAATGTTATGTGGTGGATTGAATTAGTAATTAAATTAGCTTTCAAATGAAGTGTCACACTTTATAATACATTACAGGTGTTTTATCCCTATAGAGGGTGCTACAATTAAAAAGATCGCAATAAACAGTAATATTTCTGACTTCCCCATAAAATTAACTTTTCAATGATGTGCCGAACATGATACATTCCTTATTTAAAATTAATGGGTTGGAGAAGTAGAAGGGAAGGGGTTGACACATGACAGATGTCTGTATTGTAAAAATGTGTTCAATTGAAAATAAAAATCGACTTGTTTTAGCATTTTCTAAAAATCCAATGATTAATGCCGAAAAACAGGATGAAACTATTTTGAGTGACCCACTCTGTATATCAAAAATGGCTAGATCTATCGAATTAGTTTATAAAACAAAATTTGCTTAAAAATTCATTTTTTACAAGATGCGTTATATAAGAAAGATCCTCCCATCGAAAAAAATATATTGAGCGCAGCTCCATCTACATATTGACCTATTTAAAATTAATTTATATCTAAACCTAAGCTCTCTTATTACTCTATAAACTGGCTTTTACAGATTTAAAATATCTCTATTACTTACCAAAATATCCGGCCTGGGAGTTTTTATTGGTACACCCTGTATATGAAATATGGTTTACTATTTTTAATACCTCCCTTTATAAGACGAAGGAGGGAAAGCAGGTACCTATTTCTGGATTTGAAAAATGTTGATGGATTAAATTAATATGATTTTAAAGTAAATATAAATTACTTTTAATGTTTAAGATTAAAACTAGATTTAAATGCAGATTACCATTAATTATTTATTAATGAATATTTAAGGTGTAAATGGAAGTTATCGTTAGTAATAAATAAATCTAAGGATTATTTCTTAATTTTCTATTTCAACGTATTTAAAAGGTTCCTATATCCTGAGAGACAATTTACAAAAACAAAAAGGTATCAATAGTTCCACGTACTTTTAAAAATAAAAATTTTGATTTGGCAATAACGGTGTAATTTGTGAAAATTAATAACTTTTAATGTACATTAGCTCGGGAGACAACTCGATCTTTGATGAGAGACAATTCGACCCATAAAAAAACTACCTGCTTAAGACGGGATACAATTCGACCTTGCCCCTCCTTTTTTCCTATTTTTAAAGGTTTTACCATTTATATTTTTATATCGTGACCAAAATGTATATCTTTTATAAAGCAAATCTTCTATTCTATTATTAATATTATTATAATTATTAATATTATTATTATTAATCATTATATATTATTAAATATTTTCTTAATTTCTCCGCCCCTGTCTCGGACACTGAAGATAAGATGATGCAGCCGAAAGAGTCAGGAAAAATAGTTTTTCCCTGTGGAAAAGCTGCGTGCGAGCAGCCCGGGTAATGTTAAGATATGGCCAATAGAAGGGAGTTTTATAACTCGTACCGATGTTGCATATATAACATGCGCCATCAATATTTTAGTACCTGTAGTTCTGGGCAGCGAACCCCGCACGTTCATTTCGAGAATTTTGCGGTAAGAAACGGGAGATAGGGGAAAGGAAGGTGAGAGAGGCTAGTCATAACACAAATTGGTTACAGCTTATGTTTGTTACTGTTACTGCCATGAACACAACTATAAAATATTTCATTGCTATGGGGTTGTTCACTAGAAACTGAGGTGAGCTTAAAAACATTTTAATTATTTTTCTATCCAATGAAAATGAAATACGAATTAAAATTAAAATAACAAAACAAGACGTTGTAAAAATAATTGTTATACCATGAGTAATAATATTGTTGTAACTGTTCCGAAACATAAAATATGTTTAGAATTTTCTGAAGAATTCAAAAATTTTATAAATATACATAATGTTTCCTTTAAAATAAGAAAGATGGTATTGGCCAGTGTTACACACCCTGTATAAAAAGTTTTTGTTGAAAAAAATGCGTAACTAAAAATACCAATCGACGTGTCCGAGCGTTTTTTCGAACACGTTCTTATTTATTTATTACCGAATTTATTCCATTTGGTTGTTCCACAGTGTATATGAAAAGTTTATTTTCCATTGATTGATTTTCCATTCATCAACCAGTATAATTTTCTTCATTTATTAAATAATATATATTTTTCTAGGTATTCTTCGCAAAGTACAAACTGTTCTACCTGAATTTATAGGAAGTAAAATTTCTTTATGGAGGATGCTAAAAAGTATGGGATTTAGGTAAGTAGTTTTTGAAATTGAAGTGTAATTTTAGTGGTCTTTTTATAAAAAAAAAATATAATGTAGGACTAGACTAAATTATTTAAAATTAATTCTGATGCCTTGGTAGGATTCCCCACTCGACCATTCACTGTTCGTTCTAATTAACAGTGCTGTTCCTAAAGTGGCGCTGGGAAACAGTAACAAAGCCTACACAGAACACGAGGCTAATAACCTTAGCAGTTGATGCCGATGACACAAAAAAAAGTAACATGCATAATAGGTAATTATTTAATTAAAAATAATGCCTTATTTGTAGATGGCAACGCACACAAGATAACAGAAAGACGATTATGGCATCCTACGATTTTCGCCTCAAAAGAATAACTTTCTTAGAAAATGTTATTAAATATAGAAATGAAGGGTGGAATATTTTATGTACTGATGAAACATAGGTACATCCATAGCTCACATGTGCAATCTAAGGGATGGTATTATATATCAGGAAAAGGTTTAAAGAAGCCAATCTCAAAAGGAAGTAGACTTGTGATTGTACATGCTGGTGGAGAAAAAGGATTTACTCCTAATACCTTATTAATATTTCGTTTAGGTATGTCTCTACATATACTGAAAAGTGTTATTTTGTAAGTATCGATTGTCCCAAATATTTATAAACACTGTATATCGACGGGTGCAACGAAAACTGCAGTATACGTTTTGCGTTAGAGGAGTTTAAATGTTTAAATGGGTGACAAAATTTCAATTTTAAATCAGCTTTTTTTATTTATTTATTTATTAAAAATATGTTAATTAGAGGAAGAACCAACTACCAAGGAAGTTTTTGGGGTAAAATAGCCAAATACTTTTTTAGTGAGTTAATACAGTTTACTTTGGAAAAAAGGAAAAATTAAATGAGATAATTGGTATATTTTAAGTATAACACCGGTATACATTGCAAATCGTACACACAAACTGACCAACAAGTTTTGAAGTATTTTCCAAGATTAAGAGAACAGAAAACGCATTTAAGTACCTACAAAAAGAAAATAACACAAAACACTTTTAAACTTATTCGTTTAGTAATAATTCTTCATCTTCTCCATCTTCACTAGCTTTTTTACATTTGAGGCTTCTATAAAATTGGTGATACATTTTTGGTATTTTGTTTTTATCACAAAGCCACAATAGCCCCTTTAACTTTTTTTCTTCCACTGGAAGTTCAGTATTGTACAGTCTCTTTAAATTGTTTGGTATAATAAGGCTATTATTAGCCTTTGGTGGCCTTCCCCTTTTCTCTGATTCCAAAAAACGAATCTTTAAAATTTCGCTATCAGCTGAATCGTATTCATATTTAAAAAATATAGTCACCGGCACAGAAGATTTAACAGAAATTTCCCTTATCTTGCCAATTTTAAAGTCCTTTTTATTTTCGTCGGTTTTCCACCTTCCAATGTCTGTGATATCCTTGAAATTAAAAAAAATCGTTTTGAGACATTTTGGTTACATTATAAATTTTACCTGTTGTTTTTGCCATTCTGATTAATGTTACCCATTGTTCAGGTACATAACATAGAGGACTGACTGGCGCTTCTTGGCATTTTCTATTACAGCATGCATGCTATCGCCCTCATTTTGAGTGTGTCCTTTTTCAAGGAACCTATGGGTAGGTTCTGGCCTCCACAATTAACTGAATAAAGAATTATAGATTTTATACCTTTTTCCTTTTGTGTTTGAATGAATTTTAATAAACACCTGGCAATCTCACATGGACCCCTTTTTGATATTTTTTCGTGCCAGACATAACAAAAACCTTCATTATTTCCTACATCAAAAACGGTAAAATTGTAGGTTGAATATTTACTTTTGTAGTAGGAGTCACTAACGTTGGACTGGGGAGTAGACTTTTTGTAAGACAAAACATGCCGCACATACTGTTTTGTCATCTCTAGCAATAATTTTGTTAGCATCTTTTAACTTTCTAGCCAGTGTTTTGTTTTTTATGTGAGTATCTTATTCACTTTGTATTTCTAATTTCTTTTTATTATCGGATAGGCTATAAACTGAACAAAAGTCGCACTGGTCTTTTTGGGTTTAAAAAAACTTGCACTTCTGATTAAATATATCGCCTTGTTGCCTTTTCGATGATCTGGGTGTCTATGCAATGCTCAGTGTAGAGCCTGTACATTTTTTGTATGTTTACACCTTCTTCCAAATATATTATTTTTGAATCCTTGCGAACATTCTAATATGATTTCGTACACTATCCTTAATGGCTTCTTTGATTCTTTCTGGTCTATTGTTGTGCTTTTCTCGTTGGTCAGCAATTATTGTGCTTGAGCCTCTTATTTTTGAGAGTGCTGTTGTCACATAGGTTTCTGAGATGCCAAGAGTATTCAAAAACATGGATTTACATACTTTTAGCTCTTCTTCGTTAATTATTTTAAACGAGTAATTTCTGGAATTTAGCCTTCTTGATATTAACCCTGCACCAACCGTAACCTGCTTCTTTTTAATTTCTTTTACGTACCTGGCTATAAATCCCATTGTCTTATATAATTAGCCATAGACCAGAATTCTTTAAAAATTTCTTGCCTTTTTTCTTCATTAATTTTCATTTGACACTTCATTCTACACTTCATTCTACACTTTTTACTTTCCTTAATAATTCTTCCTTTTCTATTCTTATGCTCAACTCCTTGATTTAATAGTGTTTCTGCTTTCGTATCAATCCACTCTAAAGCATTTCTATACCTTTTTCTAACATTGCTTCTCTCAGCGCCGTTTCTTTTTCTCTTAATATTTTTTTTCTCTTTGCTTCTGGCATTAGGTACACCCAACGGTTCCCTTGGAGCAGGCACTTCGTATTCAGAACTACCATTATCATCAGCTTTATCTGACTATTCATTCTTAGTCGGCTCATAATTTGGATCAGAATCAGAATTATCTTTAAATGGATCTTCCCCGTTATCATCAGAAAAATAATATTTATTAGCTGAATGATTTGAAGCTGAAGTTGAAGCGGTACATAATGGAATTTGGAGAACAGGTTCAGTAGCAATTAGCAATCAGATAAGAGTTAGAATCACTTTCTGTCTCATTTTAATTTTTATCAATAACTAGAGTTCTTTTTATACTTAGATCCAATGTAGAAACACTTTTTGGTTTGAGAACCTGTTTTTCTGCTAAAGGAACCGCATTACCTAAGACTGCCTTAGGTTTCAGGGGAACCGGGGACAAGGATTGACATTCTGAAATAAAATACTTAACTTTATGTTAATCGTAAAACTTACCTAGATTTTCCTTTGATATCCTTATAGCACTTTTTAATATTAGTTCACTTCTCTTACTCATTTTCGAAGATAGTTTCTTGTTTATTAATTATCAAACTTGTCACATAGGTACGTTCAAGAAACTTAGGTTAGAAAACAGCGTTCAAAACAAACAAAATACGCTAGTTCGGTGTGAAGTCATTTTGGTTTCACTGACATTTAATTCTAACCAAACTTTTAACAAAAACATCAATAAATTTGACATATATGTTTTTATTGTCTTTAGTTTATTTTTAAATATTGTTTTCAGGTCATAAAAAATAGTTTAAAGGTATGTAATTGGTAACTAAACGATTGTATATTTGATGCATGTTATCTACTTACTTTAGGAATATATTTATAAAAGTGAAAAAACGATATAATTTAGGTAAGCAAAACGAACAAAACGCACTCAAAAAATCTACTGTCACTTTAATTGTCAGTGGAACCATAATTACATCATCACTGAACTAGCGTATAGCAGTAAGTTAAGTTACTAATATTTTACAAATGTTCCCGACGAAAACTGTTATAACTTGATATACTGCAGTTTTCGTTGATGCGCGTTTGCCGGACTAGAGTTACTACGTATCTTAGGTGTATTGTGAGTTGCTTATTTTAAGGATAATATGAATTACGACTTTATTCGTTGAAATATAACATATGAATTTAAATATATACACCACTACCTCAAAAATGAACAAAACTGAGTTCTACAGTTTTCGTTGCACCCATCGATATATCAGTATATAACATGTTTTAACCTAGTTTAGGGAAAAACACTGTTTAATGGTAATGACTATAGTAGTAAAAATGGTTTAATTTGAATGTGTGGAAAAACGAATAATTTCACTCATTAGCGTTCATAAAAATATTGAGCTAGAACGAAAAACGTACTGATTTTTAGATGAATTTTTTAAAATTATACTATTATTATTTATGGTTTTTTCATTGGTTTTAAAACAATATATAATAAAAGACAATTCTAACAGTCAAATTAGGCAACACAATTTACAATGTCTTAATGACATGTTACACACCTATTTTTTATTAATTCCTGTTTCCTATAAATTGGATTGTTTACTAAAAGAACATGGACATATAACTTACGGTTGCTTCCTTTGTAATATGATCTTATTATTTTATCTTTTTTTATAGTGTTTTAAGCTCTATGATTTTGGAGAGTGGGTCGGGTTATTAAACAACTCGTATAACTTTGAAAAAGAATGTTGGACGCCACTATATTTAAACTTTCTAAACTTGACAAGCGATTAGTGATGAAAATATAGAAAATCACTAACCTTTATGATATTATAATTAAATGAGGTAGCAACAAATTCTAATTCAAAGAGACTTAATTATTCAAATTTAAATTTAAATGATTTATTAATAACTTATCTGTGGAATCGAGGTAATATTTAAGGAGTGACTGTAGAGGCCTTCTTGTTAAATTTTCAAAGGTAAAGTGAAATCTCGTTAACTTCTTTCGGTGGTTGAACTAAACTTCTTGATGTATTCTAAACAGGCAGCTTGTACGTTCTTCCAGATTTCTACACATGCAGCTCGTACGTTTTTCTAAAATTCATCTAGATACAACTTATATTGAACCATCTATATAGTTTCTATCGAACCATCTATATAGTTTCTATTGAACCATCTATATAGTTTCTATTGAACTTCTACTGAAACCGTCTATATACAACTTCTATAGGACCATCTATATACAGCCAGGCTTTATAAAATCAGACGGTCATTAAAAATATTTAAGATAATTAGTACATCGGATGTCTAATATAAAAGATAATTAATATTCAATAATTCAACTTGCTCGATGACAGAGGTAAATCGAAATGACAACCCGAGTTTTGACACAAGGCATAAACGACAAATGACGTTTGTGTAGAGATGGTCGTTTCGGTATTATACGCCGACACTCGAACGGCGGATATAACTATTGAAATGTTATAAAGAGTTTCTAGACACTTGGAAACACACTATGCATAACAATTTAGGGTCCGCTAACACTTATTTAAAAAAAAATATTTACCTGAAAATCCTTAAAATTTGTTGTTGGGTCTCCATCATAAAACAAATGTTAAATAAACCATTTTCACTGATTTCTTGTTGTAGAAACGGCTAATATCAATATAAGACCATTCATAGAATATAAACCGTACCAAGTTTTTTCATAAACGATCAAATTTTCTTATTTTTCATTTTAAGTTTGTTAGAAAAATAAATAAACATTAAATTATTTTTAATGACAATTGATGTATCTAGTTTCTATAAATGCGGTGTTGCCAAATCGAGTAAGAAAACATATAAGTCAGGAAATAATTCGGTTAGTGAAAGTTGGCTGAAAAATTACATAGTGTCTGGCCAGCAGGTAAATTTGGATCTCAAAGTGAAAACATTTGTAGTAATCACAGATAACCGTCTTTTTATTTTATTTCATGATGATTGTACGTTAATTACGGCATGTCGGTACTTACCTAATATTTAAAAAAAAAATTCAATTTGAGCTGTGTCCAGGCCGTTGGAGTTTATGCCGGTAGGCGTAGCCAGGTATGGATTAAAAATTTTCTGGTGGCGGCGAAGCCGCCACCTTACCAGAAGTCATTTCTTCCTTTTCTTATTGTATATTTTCTTATTATTAGATGCCCACGATACAAAACACGTTCGTTTAAAGTTGGGATCGAGGTTCACTGGCTAGACGCTAATAAGGGTTGGTTAGGTTAGGTTTTTTTTTTTTTTTCAATTTGAGCTGTGTCCAGGCCGTTGGAGTTTATGCCGATAGGCGTAGCCAGGTATGGATTAAAAATTTACTGGTGGCGGCGAAGCCGCCACCTTACTAGAAGTCCTTTCTTTCTTTTTTTATTTATTAGATGCCCACGATACAAAACCCGTTCGTTTAAAGTTGGGATCGAAGTTCACTGGCCAGACGCTAATAAGGGTTGGTTAGGTTAGGTTTTTTTTTCAATTTGAGCTGTGTCCAGGCCGTTGGAGTTTATGCCGGTAGGCGTAGCCAGGTATGGTTTAAACATTTTCTGGTGGCGGCGAAGCCGCTACCTTACTAGAAGTCCTTTCTTCCTTTTCTTATTGTATATTTTCTTATTATTAGATGCCCACGATACAAAACAGGAAGAAGATCTTGATATGGGTATTTTTTAAATTGTTAGTTTTATATAATTTTTCTGATACCGAAGTCAATTGGTTGGTCTGGTACAACGCAGGGCATAGGTAAAAATTACCATTGCTATGTAATACATAATTGATATGGCAACATTGTATTTCTTTTAGACACATGTCACACTGCCGAAGTCAATTGTCATTGCGGTTATGAAATTTGGATCATTTTGACGAAATGTAACTTGGTCGTAAATTAAGAAAATAATACTGTTTATGAAAAAATTTGGATGGTTTATTGCATTATGGATGGTCTAGTGTTATTATTTAGCAGTTTCTATAACAAGAAATTAATCAAAATGATGTAGTTCAAATTTTTTCAACATCGAAATTGGAAGACACATTTTAATAGTTTTAAGGTAAGAAAAAAATATTTTATAGCGTTTGCAGGGCAAAAAAAGTATTTTGAAATGTGTTTCAAAAGGTCTAAAATCGTTAAAAAAAAAAAAAAAAAAAAAAAAAAAAAAAAAAAAAAAAAAAAAAAAAAAAAAAAAAAAATAGCCCGTTCGACCGTCGGCGGATTTTTGTCTGGGTCCAAATAACGAAAACGGTTTTAACCGTTACACCTTATCATCCCGAATTCAACCCAATATAAAAAATCTAGGCAGTGGTTAAGAACTGGGTGGCAGTGCACAATACCACATTTAAACTGAATGATGTGGAGGAATTAGCCAGGAAGAAATTTTCAGAAGTTTCTGTTCAAGAATGATGTTCTATTTGGGAACATGTAAAGAAACGAGAATATGAACGGATTAAAAGAGAACACATTCTGGATAATGCTGTAGATTATAGATTCTCTTGTGTTTACTGTAAATATAGGATCGACTGACGAATCTATTTCAGAGGATGATTGCAGCAGTGACAGTAATAGAAGTATTATAGAATTACTTAGTGACTCTGAAAGTGATTAATAACACAAACCTACAAGAAAAAATTATCTCAATTTTTTCCAGATTACCTAGATTCTAGGCAAACATATTTAAAATTTTGTGATGTGGCTCAAATTCATGATTTTAAAATCGATATTTCACTAAAGTCAATAAACAAAAAATCTTAAATTTCTTCAAATATACGTTTCCAATAACTAGTAACTAACATTTAAAATTTCATCAATTTATTTAACTATAAACAGGATTAAATAAGTTTGAATTTTCGAAGTAAGGGTAAAAAGTATAAAATTTTGTAAAATATTCAACACATGTGTAACTAGCAGTCAATTGAATAAGAAATACAAACATTTATTATCACTGAGCTATTTTGTATTCATTGTTCTTACACCTAACGTTTAATTAACTCCTACTGTATGCTGCAGATTTCGTTAAAGTTTTTAGATGTAAAACGTTTTAAAAATGTATATATTTTCCCTGCTTTTCTAAATTTAAAACTTAATACTAAAGTTACATATTATGACATTTGAGTTCCAACTTTTCAATTATTTTTGCCAGTAATCCGAGTAAACCATTTAATAATCAGTATGTTACCAATATTTTTTAAGCATTCCTAAATTAAAATGAACAATTTTATAAGTTTGTGTTATTTTTTAACCTTTTTTATTACCAAAGCGATATATTTAGGACGTGAAGTAATAGGCTACTGATAATGTCTAAGAGGTCAATATCTCAGCTAGACCATTTTTATCCAAAAAACGTTTACAACCCAAGATTTTAATGAAAATTTAATCTATTTTTTTGTATGAAGCAGTGCAGGCATTGCCTGCACCTACCTCTACTCAGAAATCAATTATAAGTAAAACAGTGAAAAAACAATATAATTTTTTGCTTTTTAAATCCTTTTTCTATATTTTATACATTAAAAAATTAAATAATTTGATGCGAAATATTCGTATTCTTTATAAAA